TCCTTTCACTCCTGGAGGCTCTTTTTGATACAAGTAACCCTCCAAATACAGCAAAATTAATTCATTCTGCATACAAAGTAACATTTTAAAGAATTAAAAAGAAAAAATAGGCCCCAAATCATTCCTTCATTTAGAAAGAAATTGAATGCTGGATCATCTTGTAGAAATTGAAACAGGGGAGTTTTCCTGTTACATATATTTTTATTCTGTTTGTTATGGTGAATAATGCAATAAATTGACTTGGTTTCAGAACTGCAAAAGGTGGTAAAACACCCACAGGACAACAGAAAATTACAAAATTAATTTTAGTTTTTAGATGTTTTCACTCATTCCTTATACAGTGAGCAAATAATAAAAAACAATCTGATAACACATTTTCATATTTCAGTCTCCCCTTTAAGAGTAAAAAAAAAAAACAGTTTAGAAGGAGAAGATGAACAGAAGCATTCTGTATTTCCAAAATTAACTATGAAGGGCAGATTATCTGGGCATATCTGAAAGCTATGTGTAACCTTTGCGCTACAAATATCTCATTTCAAAAATGTCATATTCTGCTTATTCACTAGGGCTTCCATAAGGCTATTTAAAGCACTGTGCTTCTTGCTTCTAGACAAGAACTGAAGTTATTACAGCCTGCATGTTTTGTTTCACTTGCAGTTTATTAGAGCTAGATAATGGCTTGATAGTAGGATGTGATTAAATGCTGAGAGTTCCTGCCCAAGGAGTATAAACACTGTGAAGTTCAGCTTTGTTTGCAAGGATCATTGTGCCTCCGGTTTATCAGCTGTGGTAGTCTGGGTGGTTTTTATGCAAAAAAGGATCCACTAACACATCAGTCTGAGCTCCTGCAGCCTCCACAGCTGGGCAGCTCCTGCATGGACAGAGGACCATGAAATTGGTGAGCTCTTCCTCTGGTCTGCTCAGGCTCCTTGCAGGCCTGGTAGTCCCTTGTGTTCGTGTGTGTCTGTAACAGAAACCCTCACAAGAGCTTTGTGATCCACTTTTGAAGTGGCTGTTTAAGGGAACTTTCACCTGGCAGGGAGAGAAATAGTCCTCACTCTCATTTCCTCTGTTTAGCTTTGGATCAGGCCCTGTGTGCTCTGATGTATGAGTGACAGGTTCTCAAGGCGAGTTACTGACAACAGTTGCACCAAGGATGTAGTAATCTATGTTGAAAAGCATTAATTACTCCATGTTTAGAGCTGACAACACAGCAATATGTGTATCACCAATATGTCAGCATGGTTTGCTTTTCATAGGAGTTTATGTTCCCAGCAGGCACCGAATGCTTTTTTTGCCTGATAAATGTCAAGTACTTAAAGCAATCTTTCCTGTTCCTCTCTGGAGACTGCCAAATAATCTCCTTTCATTGGTTATGGGATCTTGCCAGGGCTTCTGCATTCATGCACATTTATCCCTGCCAAATGTTGGTAACACAGGAACTGTATAAATACTCTCTGCTCCTTTCATTAGCTTTGCACAGTTCTGTTCGGTTGCAGGATTCCTATTTGTTTTTGGGGGTTTTTTTTTCTGTTACTCTGGATGGAGCAGTAGTTCATGATCCATATTCCCTTATCGAGTATGCTGTAGAGTTTAGCCCTTGCTATGGAGCTGTGTTTCAGGGTAGAAACCTTTCTAATTAAACAGCATAAGCATCTTGCATCATTGGCTTCTTTAAGCTAATTCAGTTTGCCTCCTGAATGCCCCACTGCAGCTGAGGGGAGTTCCCAGTAGATGTTGAGCAGTTCCTCTGTTCCCAGTCATGATAAAAAGATCCCTTTGCTATTTGCCCTATGCATTTACTTGTGTTTTTTTCTCTAGGAAGTTTTATAGTACCAAATGCTCCTATTCCATGTAGCACATAGGAGCTTCCTCTGTACTTTTATAAGTTCTATAAAATATTTAAAGCATTTATTTTAAAATTTTAGTTTGATAAGTTCAGTTTGTTAAGGAGGGGGAAAGATCTCAGCAACATACCATGTCCTGGAAATAGATGCCTTAATAAAATAATAAGTGGCAGAGGAAAAAATGCTTTTTGCAGAAAATGGGAAGTAAATCATTCACTATGTCTGTTTTTAGTCTGTGTATCATACAGCAAGACTGACACATTTGACCTTTTTGTTGAAAATGTCACCAAGATATTTTAGTCTAATGCTACATATCATGAAATGGCAGATGAGAATTCTCTGTGTGTCAGTGTGGTACCTAATTTCAACCCATGCAAAGATACTTTACAAGACTAGATGGCAGAATGTCACTCATTTTCCCTTTTCTGTAATGTAATAACTTGTGAATGTTGCATATACAAGTCCAAACACCTAAGAACAGGTCTAGACTACATGGCAGAACCTCTTCAGTTGGATAAAATCTGTGAACATGTAAGGCGGGAAGAGTCTAAAGATGCTATTTCCAGCAATTTGTTTGAAAACGCAGTACCCTTAAACACATTCAGCTATTTTTAGGTAAAAATATCAGTTAACACTAGCCTTGAATGACCTCCAGCACAAGAGCATCTTTCAATTACTTTGTCCATCATTAACATCTCTCAAGATGAAGAGATGGAAGAGTGGGGATGTGGCTGAGACAGAGCAGGTTCTCAGTGTGACACCAGAGATGTAGAAGACAGCCCAGGGAACAGGGGTGTGGGGAAGGCAGAAGAGCAGGAAACATTTGTATCTCAGGTATCTATTAGGGTGGCAGCACTGGGAACTGAAGAATGCAAAAAGCCTCTGTACACAAAATACAACTTTCAAAAGCAGTGAAGTCTCTGATCTTTTAGCCAGTCTAAAGTGGAGTTCAGGTCCTCAGCAGCATGGTTCAAAATGATCTGGCAGTTTGTGCCTGTTTCCTCATTTTAATGGTACCAATCTGATTGCTTTTGCTACGCTTGTAAATCAAATTAACAGAGGTGGAGAGTGGACTGAGATCAAATTTTATGTCAGGAGAATGTATATGAACATAATATACAAAGAACAGACTAAACAGAAAAGAAAGTGATTTAGCTGGAAGCCTGGCAAAGAAAAATCTGCTAGTATTATCAAATACATCAGGAGTAATATTTTTTGCAAAGCCCAAATGATTCTGGTAGCCTACATATCATTCCCAACAGTCTATTCTAATACATCCAAGAAATTTAATTTGGGTTAATTAAAAAGACAAATTTAAAGTGTATTAGGATATATCCATGTAGTGGAAAACTATCAAGCTACCAAATACTCTTATCTGTGGTAGCTTTTGCATGTCCCCAGCCTGCTGCTGAGTGGAACACATTAATTGGAATCATCATGAAAGAATAACTTTTTTTTTTTCCTCTAGTTCTAACAAGACTTCTTTTTGTTTTGTTGTACTTCATTTATATGTTAAGCTTTAATGCTGTCAAGGAAGAGTAGTCTTATTACTTCATATATGTGCACGTGCATACATTCACAGCTCCTTATTCCTAAACAAAACTGGAATCTTGTTTCACGTCTGCCTTTATTGCTATGCCTTGTAAGAACTGAAGAGAGGTTATTTAGCAGCTCAAAGCAAAAGTTTCATAAAGTGATAACATTGTTTAAATCCTCTTCTGAAACTGACCAGTTAGTTCCAGCATGTTAGTAAGATGCTGAAATGCAAGCATCTTCCACTCCTGTGCTGGTGTCCTCACAGGCTGTCAAAATACTGTCCGTCAGCTGGCAGAGCAGTGCCAAGCTGCTGGCTTTCATCATATGGTTGAGACTGTTTCTAAAAGAGGTTTTTTAACTCCATGAGCACTGCTTGCTGGGTTTAATAATCAAAATCAGCTGGCCATTTTCTCATGAGTCAGCAGAGGGTGTCTGGAAATCTCTCTGAGCACTGAGTGTGCAGTGGCAGATTTGTAGCAGAGCATTGCAAGGAGCAGCAAAGTTTGGTAAGACAGGAACGCTCCCATTCTAAACTGGCATGTCAGTTTGGTGTTTGTTTGGTTTAGTTCATTTCTTTTTCATTTGGGGAACTTACCAATGAGGTATCAAAACTTTAAATCCAAGACCTGTTTGCCCTATAGGAATATAAATTAGATGTAGTGTATGTGGTAAATTTTGTTTCTGAATAAGGTTGTTTGGTCTGCTTAGGGTAGAAAAGGACTTCACCCACATATTTAGTGAGACATTTTATTAACCTCAACATTTAATGAGGTGTTTTAACTATTTAAACAAAGTGGAAAAAAATGCAGTTTCCATTTTTTTCTTGATTATTTTATTAATAAAGGATATTTTCCAAGAAACTCTTGACATCTCATTTCAAATTAATTTCATCTCAGTGTTTTGATTTATAATTTCAAAGACAAAATTATCTATTGTTTATAAAAGTAACCTGTTTGGGAAGGACCTGAGTCTGAGAAATAACTTTGTTCCCCCTTGACCTCATTAAAGTCATGTTAATTCATTGGATAGAGTCCTAATAAATGTTCAGGATTATCCCAACAACAAATTTTACAGTATCTGTATGCGAGTGTTCTCCTTCTTAGTGCTGAGAGAGTTGTTGTACCTTATGAAAGAAGCTACTATAAATAAGAAGGTCTTGATTCATCACTGTGTCACTGCAATTAGTTCACTGTCACTCCAGAATGAGTGTCCAGGATCTTAACTGTTCTCTTGCAGCCATAAGAAGTTAATTTGAATACTTAGTTTAATGTCTTTGGCAACTCCCTGTGTCTTTAAAAATCCCTGAGTGATATTTGAAAAGCATAACATTTAAAAGTGGAAAGTCCTCTGTTCAAAGAGTTTGTGAGAGAACAGATGTCTCAGAGGAAAGGAAGTGCTTTTTATACTGGAGTGTCGGAGCATTCTGGGGGATGATTTAGGAGTGTTTTGAATAGGGTGTTATTTCTGTAGTGTTCTACTGATGTCATACCAGAGAAAATCAGCAACAGGCTGGTCCCAGAAAATCTATTCCAGAATTATGACACTGTAACAAAGATCCTGTTGTTAACAAAGTGTGTTACACACTTCTGATGTTTTTATATTTTGTTCTGTTTTCAGTGTCAGCCAAACCGAGACCTCACAGCGATGAATACACCAAGAAGATTCCACCTCCTAAGCCGAAACGAAATCCAAACACTCAGCTAAGCACATCTTTTGATGAAACGTATATCAAAAAGCATGGCCCTATGAAGTCAACACTCACTAGAGATGCCTCACTATCGCAGGTCAGCAGTCCTGCCCCAGACACAGAGGAAGAAGAGCCTGTTTATATTGAAATGGTTGGGAATATTCTCAGAGATTTCAAAAAAGATGAGGATGACCAAAGTGAAGCAGTCTATGAGGAGATGAAATACCCTATATTTGATGATGTAGGCCAAGATTCAAAATGTCAATGTGAATATGACCATCACACTTGTTCTTCTCAGTGTGCTACTCCTACAGTGCCTGACCTAGATTTCACCAAGTCTTCAGTGCCATCTACTCCCAAGGGCTTGCTTTGTGATATACCCCCACCATTTCCAAATCTGCTTTCTCACAGACCTCCACTCCTGGTGTTCCCACCAGCACCAGTGCAGTGTTCTCCAAATTCTGATGAGTCTCCTCTAACTCCACTAGAGGTCACAAAGCTTCCCGTTTTAGAAAATGTGTCTTACATCAAGCAACAGGCTGGAGCATCTCCATCTTCACTGCCACCTCATACACCAGGTCATCAAAAACTGGAAAAAGACCAGACAGTATCTCATGGAACTAGCACCCCTGGACACACGTCCTCCCCTCCTCATCCTTCTACCTTATACAGAACACAATCTCCACATGGTTATCCTAAAAGTCACTCTGCCTCACCTTCTCCTGTCAGTATGGGTAGGTCTCTTACCCCCTTAAGCCTCAAAAGACCTCCACCTTATGACTCTGTACATTCAGGAAGTCTCTCAAGAAGCTCTCCATCAGTGCCTCATTCTACAGCCAGAAACACGTTACAAGAAGGAGGAAAGATGGTGAATGCCTCAGTCAGTACCTATGGCTCATCATCTCAGAGTGGTTCCCGTTCTCGGACACCCACCAGTCCTCTGGAGGAACTAACCAGCCTCTTTACCTCAGGACGAAGTCTCCTGAGGAAGTCCTCCAGTGGCAGAAGATCTAAGGAACCTGCAGAAAGTAAGTTACTGATACATTTTTTTCCTCATTCTTCCTTACAATATTTTACTTCACTATATTTTATTAAATGCTTTCAAAGATTGAGTATCTCAGAACTCAGAATTTCTTATATAACTTTATTGCAATAGGAAAAAAAGTGTTTTTTGTACAAATTGCTTCAGTTTTCATGTTACATTTTTAAGCACACATACTGCACTACGAAAGTACAATTCATTTTGCAGGAGTCAGTTTTTGTTAGCTTTTCCACGTTTGTAAGACTAGCATGTGAGTTGGGATCTTCCTACCATGTCACATCCTTATTTTCTTGTCAGAAGCAAACACACAATAATTGTTCAAGTAGCTCGTAGCAAAATAAACAGAATAGTCAGTTTTTGGCAAAGATCCACTGATCACCTTTAACTTGTCCAGTGATCATGCTGTGTCTGATGGCAACCAGAGGAACCTGCCCAAACCACTCCTCTCCTCCCCCTGTCTTCTTCCATAGTGTGCTACAGAGAGTTTCTCTTGTGCTGTTGTGACAGGCTGGAAGGCCATACAATGTATCGATCTGAAAACCAACATGACCTATAAAACACCTCCACACATTGAAAGCAGGGGAGGAAGCTGTACAGGAAAACCTTTAGTCAATATTGTCTTTTCATATGCTGTGTCATAAAGTCGTTGTCCCATAGGCATTCAGGTTTATACAATGTACACCTGTTTCTGAGCCAGGGAAATATGAAAGTGTCTAATTAAATCAGCAGGAGTCACTGATGTGAGTGACAGCAGAACCTGGTACCAGCGCTTCTGTTGCAAAAACATTCCTGTTCAGTGGTGCCAAGGACATCTTGCAGTGGAAGGTCACCATAACACCTTTTGTCAGAGAGCAGAGGGGACTTACTATGCTTTCTCCTCCAACTTCAGTCAAATCAGTTTATGACTCTGAATTCTTGACATTTGACTGAAGGAAAAGCTCTCTTAGGAGAACAGCTGATCCATTGTTTGTGTAGGGGCTATATTATGCCTATTTGGCAGCTGTAACATATTAAATACCATGTGATAAACTACGCTGGTTTATACCTGATAAAGGAGGGTGTTCAGGTGTCCAGGCTACCATATAGCTACAGAAGAGAGGTGAATTCTGCACTGCTATCCTGGTTGTGTTCATGTCGCTCCATTACATTACTTATTGTAATGTAATGGAGCAGTATAGTCACATCAGCTTGGGGCATTCTCAACGGGCTCACAAAAACATTCCATCTGGGTTTTCCTGGGCAGAGGGTGTCGCACCCATGCAACTGAGTACATGCCAATGTGCAGGCATGAAGAAGCTTGGTGACAATACTTGGGATTGGCATACAATGCATCCCTTCTGATTCATGGATTCCACTGCTCTAACCTTAGCAGTTTAATCTTATTTATCTCTGTGCAAATCAGGAATAATGACTCTGAAATCAGAAGGTGGAGGTAAGAATGGAGTTAGCAGGATACTGAGACCCGAACCTGAATTATATGAAAGCTTTAGCTTCATGACTAAGGGCTTCACTAAGCGATTACAGAAAAAAAAAAAAAAAAAAAAAAAAAAAAAGAATAATGCCAAAGTTGTGTGCTGGATTGAAGCAAGTTTGTATCCAACAGGCAAGGCAATTTTTGTAATTGGGAACAATTATGAGGGATGTGATGTGACATAACTAATTGCAGTGAAGTGGTAGGGAGATTTTGGCAAAGTGCAGACAATATTGAACTTTATTAAACATACTACGTATTCGTAAGTGAGCCCCATACCACACCACATCTACCTGGTGAAGGTCGTAAGTTGGATGGTTTGTCCTCACCGATGTAGGCAGAAGTACCAGCATTGGAACCCTTGGAAATTCCTGCAGCAAATGAGGTGAGTCCTGGGAAATTTCAGCAAATCTCTGCTGCTACCTCATGCCAGAAAGATATTCTCTATATTCCACTTGACTGAAATTGAATGGAGATTATTCAAGAGACTTTTCAGGGATAAATGTGCTCCTTGTTGGTCACAAATAGTAAAACAAGAGGAGATGAAATACAAATGGTTCGTTTACTTCAAGGACAAAACATTCATATTATAAATAGACAGCAGTGGTGAAAAGATTTGGGAGTGCAGCTGTGTTGAGTAATGAACAGACTGCCCATCTAATCCGATTGTAATTTGTCTGGTATTTACAGTATGACTTAATCCTGTGGGATTACTGCAATGAGCATGAACCAGGTTTGTACTCAGATATTGCAGAGGTGGAAGGCACTCTAAGATTTAGAGAAAATACATACAGCTCTAGCATTTTATGTCTTGCAATCCTACATTAAAATGATCCACCATAAAGAATCTGAACTGTGGGATTTGAATGTAGAATCTGACCAGACTGTCACATTTACATGCTGTTGATTATATATAGTGACAGTGTAGACTGGACTAAGCATGCAATCAGTTAAATAAATCTAGCTCCTGCAAATCACACTGGAAGCCTAAGGCACCCACACAGCTCTGGATTATTTCTTTATTTTTGAGCTATGGGAGAGCAAATGCACAGCATAGACTAAAACTGCCATAGTTTTATAATTTTAGCTTTAGTGTAGTTTGCTCTCAGCATCAGAAAGATTTCCAGAATCTAGAGGATAATAAACACACAAAAAAAAGAAGTTGTATGGCTCTTATGAAGTCGTGCTAGGGAACTAATAATATTTGCTTCTAAAATATGAAATTGTTCTGAGCACATCTCAAGCAATTTTCTCATTGAATTCTCCAAGACTTAGCCCACTGTGACTTGTCTGAAGCTCTCGCTAGCATATGCTTGTCAAAAAAAATAGCTCAATACTAAATTTTATACTCAGCTGAGTGTATTTGGAAAATATTGCAGCAGTTACAGAGAAAATTCTTTCATCTTTATTGTTATTACTGCAACTGACTTTGTGGAGATTTGGCATCTGAGTCCAAACAGAATGTATTTGCTGGCTTTTAATTTGTGACATTTTTGAGTGAGTTTCTTTTTGGGGAGGGGGACTGCACAAACCTTATTTCCACTCAACAGCTTTACTATGCAAGCAAAGCTGCCCTTGTAGCCTTTGTGTATAATTTCCTTTGCTCTTCTCTCATTGGGATTTATCCCCAGTTGGGATAAATTAATTATCCTAAGGAGACTGTCACCTCAGGACCACATTTTTGGAGGATATGAGCTTCTGTTGAAATCCCAGCCATGTTGCTGCTGAATGCAGTCAGCATCTACTGGCTGCAGTTGTGGTGTGTATCTGGATTTTGAAGCAGCTCACGTCTTGTGCTGTGTTCTTATAAAAATCCTCATGTGTGCATCTGTTAGCATGTCCTCATGCTGGCATCTTAAATACGCATTGTAGCACTACTACGAAGGTGAGGAGAAAAGAACAAAGACAAAGTCATTGTAAGGCCAAATCAAATTTAAAAAATGGTGGAAGGTGATCACAAAGAATGGCAGAAAGATGAAGAGAACTGCTATGGAAAACTGAAGAACATGTAGAGCATGAAAAATGAAAAAGTAGGGGGGAACTGTGACTGTTCTTTAGCCATCCCTGCTTTTGTGTGGTGTAACATGGTAGCATACCCCAACAGTTGACAGAGCCCTGTGAAATATAATGTCAGCCTCAGAGGCTAGAGGGAAACTATTTAAAGGGTACCAACACTGTCTGGTGTCCTTGGTCTACTGCAGTGTGTCCTTTTCTAACGCAGTTGGAAGGTGTGGTCCCTCAACCCAGCTGTGTTGAATGACACCTTCTCTTTGCTTTTATTATGTGCACTGGCTGACTGTGTTACCTGTGTCCTTTAGTAAAAAAAAAAGAGAATTTCAGAGTGAGAAAGGGAGGGGGGGAGATTGTCTTCAGATTTTCTGGAGCTGCATTTGCTGCCTCTCTTTTCTGCACCATAGAAACAGGCTGTATTCTGTGTATATATTTATATCACTGAAGTTGTGCCTATAGGCATACCCATGTCCTAAAAAGCGAAACAGAGAAGCTGCTGGTGTGACTCTGAACTGTACAACGCTTCAAGGCGGTACATTTTTTTTTCTGGGTGACGTGGTCCTGCACACCCTTGTCAGAACCAGCCCTTTCTGCTGCTGTCTTGGATGTTTCCATTTGTTAGGGCTTCAGTTTTATTGTAACAGCCTGGGAACTTCCAATCCTGTTTTGAGAAAATGTTGCAAATATTCATCTTAATGCACTGTATAGCATAATGGTTACCTCTGCTGTGTGCTTTAACTCTGTGCACAAGGTGTGACATCAGGACATGTGAAGCATGGAAACTCTTGCTCTTTTCCTCCCTAGCTGCTCTGCAGAGTTTCATAGCTGCTTTGGCTTTTGCCTACGGAGAGTTTCACTCTTAAGCTTCTAGTCACATCTAGGGAGGAAATTTGTGAACAGGTTGCTACGAAAATTCAGTTAAAGAGATTGAACCTTGGGAGAATTATAATTTCCTGTTCCTGCTGGCTGGTACCAGCTATATTAGGAATCTAAAACACTTTATTATTAGGTGTCAAATAGTGTGTAAAGGAGAGGGGAGCAGAAATATCTCAACTTGTTAAAAAGGAGCTCATGCTGATTTCAGGCAACTGAGACCCTCTCATGGAGAAATTGAGATGTTAGAGGGGAAATTTTTACTACTTTTTGTTTTGTTCATTTTTTAATATTTTTTTAATGCTGGTGCTTTCCAAGGATCTAGAAAGCAGTTTTGTGTTCCCTGTTAGATAGACTAGTATGTTGGGAAAGAGAGTTTGGGAAATGAGTGAAGTGAAAATTCACCGCATGTGAGTCTGGTTGTTTAACCTCCACCTCTGCACATTAAATGCAGAATGAGGGGTGTTGACAGTGCAGGATTCCAGGTTAGGTATTCTTTTAATGGAGTATGAAAAAGTAGGAAAAAAAAAAAAAAGGTTGGACTTTGCATGCCACTGAACTCTGCATACCTTCTCATTTGGATACCTGCTCAGGCTCTGGTATACAGAAGAGGAAGAGCTGGCCTGTAAGAC